CAGAGCTTCTGAAAGAAGATGTAGGAAAACAAGTAGCAGTAACTGCTGTTCTCAAGCAAAAAGTTAGTGAGTACACCTTGCTATCCAGAGCACTTAGGCATTTGGAATCCTTGTCGGAACAGCAAAGTGCTTGAGATACTTGAGGAGTCACAATAGTGATTAGTGGCTGATCACCGACAGAGGAGAAGAAATTTGGGTGATCCACACATATCTGGTAGTGTTTCTTCCCAAAGCAGTGGATAAGCCTCTTTAACACTAGGTGCCAAAAGGAAAGATGCTCAGCTTCACCCCTGTGCTAGCAAAAGTTTTATTAGCCATTCTTACGGACATATAGGAAGTCTTCTGACATACAGTACTGTGTAGGCATTTGACATATATCATCTATAAAGCTGAAAATCTCAGGGAAAGTCAAAGCATCACCTGGACAGACTTTTTTTTTGTAGTCATTTCAAAGAAATATATTTTCTGATGCCAGAGTCCAGTAGCAATGCACTCAGTAATTGATATTAAAGTAAACTTACTTTGTTCATAAATACGTTCATAAATACAATTGTGTAAAAAAGCTTATATCTCCCGAATTCCTAAGTATTCTAGAGAAATTAACGTCTAAGATGACAAAACTGTCCTTTTTCCCCTCTGGCAACTTCCCTCTATCACCTCTTCTTATACTTTTTACCTCTTGGATTTCTATAGCAGAGGAGTCTGGTGCCTGACTTCTTTTCTCAAAATGAAAATGTTTTTAGAAGAATATCCATAGGTCTTGGAAGACCTAGTTCTTCATGAGAAAGATTTTCATATACTACGTTAAGAAAAAACATATTTCTAAAGAATAAAGAACACTATCTTATTATTTATAGAACCAGGTCTGTAGTCTTATATGTGGCCTTTAATACTTCACATGCAGGTGATTTTACGTGAAGACCAAGTATCAAAGAATTAGGTGTGCTCTTTCAGGAGTATAAAGCATATTATGTGTGAAATGGCAGATAACAGGACTAAAATCTCATCTTCTAGCACTACTTAAAATCTAAATTACAAGCAAAATGAAGAACAATTTCTGACAAAAAATCCCTAAAATTGACTACATTGCTAGAAGAGATAACAATTTAACTGAATCTCTACACTGGAACATCTTTCTTGGACTAAAAGTATTCCAAGAACAAAATACAGTGGTAATGTATTTGCCTGTGCACATGACTTTCATGAACTGGACACTGCCAAATTTCTGGTCTTGAAACTCTGAAGCGTTTATAGCCCTTCTTGGAGAAAAGCATATGGAGAAACACTTAAAAGAGGAACAATTACATTCATCTCTGTTGTACATCTGCAAATCCAAACAGACCAAATATGTTCAGAAGTTTTTTAATGGATAGTTTAAAGAAAAAGCTATCCCTCACTGTATTATGCATTTCCTTTTTAAAGGCAGAATGCTACAATGAAAAAGAGCAATACAATATTATGAATCATATCATGTTTACATCTAACAAGATCTACATGCACATCATACAAACTTTCGCTCACTGATAAGTCAGAAATTGTACTTCATGCTCAAGGCAAAAACCAAATTGTGAATAAAATTGTATTTTGTCTTGAATACATTTATTTAGTTCCAGTTAATTATATTTCTGCTCTTTTTCCTTTGATTTCAGACTGATGTAGATGCTGAAAAAATGTAATAGTGATTGGTTCCATGCAATTCCTAATTTGATAAGCTTGACGAGGAGCCTCGAGGCAGTTAGGATGCATGCTATCATCTGTCAAAAATTCCTAATTCAAACATCTATGAACATCCCAGTCCATCAGCGGGATGGGCAGCTTTGATTAGCCAACACTCGCACACTCTTGCATTGACACAGGCATGCACGTGCACAGGCAATATTGTAGACACACAAATCACTTAGGTGCTTGCACACGTCTATACATAGTAAAACCATCTATATGTATTCAGATACAAGTTCAAATATATTCTAAATACTCTGGAGCAGAAATACTATAAACACTTAAAACAGCTGTTTATGCAATATGGGCAAATACATTTTCATATATATACACACACTACAAAATGATATTTTTGAAATTATTAATACACTTAGAAACACACATTTCATTAACCCTCTAATGATATTATGCAACTGGTAGGTATAGTAAAGGTATATTGCCTTTTTTTTTTTTTTTTTTTTTATCTTCCACAAACTCACAGATACAGTCTCTGCTTACAATAGTATTCTACCTAACACGTAAATATTGTGAATTAACTTGTAAGCTTGTTTTCCCACGAACTATTTTGAACTATAAAAGAGGTTATTCTAGTTCTATTTCTAGAATATATGGAAATGTCATCAGAAACATATTTATTTGTCACACCGATCACCGTTCTTTGCCTGAAAAATTATGCTCCTTTGCCATTTAAGCAAGCATACTTTGTTTGGCCTATCGGAAAGCATTATGATTATCCCAACTCCTGTGGACTCAATTAAGCAATCTGTCGAGCTAAATCACATATTAGAAACGGAGATATTTTTCTTGCGTTTCCAATAAATTAAAAGCCTTAAAACTCCATATTGAAACAGTGAAGGGTTAGTTGTGAGGCAAAATATCTCCGCACTACAAGGCATGGAGAATTCCAATAATCTCATTTGTTCTCCCTTTCATTTCCTTCTCTCCTCTTATTCCATTCTAATTGTAGAAGCTTTTCAGATTTAAGACTCCCCCTCTTTTACCGCAAGGATACACAGTCTCCCTACTTGGCAGCTGCTGCTCAAAACAGCTTCCTTCAAGTTGTGTTGCCTCATTAATTCAGACACAGAAGAAGACTTTTCCACATTCACTATATATTTGTCTATTGTACTCCCTGCTATTGTGTCTTCGCATCTTCCAGTAGTGTCTTATTTCATATGAGTAACATCTGTTGTTTTACATAACCTCAATCATATAATTCTCATTCTTTCTGCTTCGGAAAGAGAAGGGACACATTTGAGAAGATAGATCTTTTAGTGTACCTCTAACCAGCCAACCCTGTTGGCTGGCTTCAGTCACAACCTAAAAAACCACGTCTCCCAGCACGAGACAACTAGCAGCAATAAATACACCAGGTGATTTTTTTTTTTTCCAAACACTTGAAGCAACTCTGACCTAGAACAGCAGAATCCTCCCTCCACACGTACACGTTGGCAACACTGAGATGAATGGAGGCTGTTCTAACCCGTTCACTAATTCCCAGGATCTCAAGCATCTAATTGCCACACTGAATAATAAAGAACCGAAAAGCCTTCCATGGCACTCTAGCAGAAAAACACATTCCCATCATTACCAATCATGCCAAAATTAGTTAAGGTCCTAAAAATGCATTTACTTCTAATGCCCTGGAATTACATTTTGCTTTGTTGAATTCACTTTGTGCAAAGACCAAAATATTGGCTTTGTTTTCTCTTTTAATATTATAGTTTAGAGTTTTTCATGGTTCTTCTTCTTATAGTTTTGCTACCATAAACTGGGTATTATGAAAACACTACTCAATAAGCTTTGAAAACCATCTTTCTGTCCTTTGGATTTCCATGGCAAAATATTGCAACCACCCTAATAGATCCTTGTTCCTCCTACAATTCAAGATGGAGGAGTCCTTGGGTTTCAGAAGGTGGAAATAAATACTGGTTTTAGTGATGGCAGAGTGATAGTTTTGATTCTGATGCAGTTAGAAACAGTCACGAGATTTGCTTACAATGTGCTGGATGTTAATTGAAGAGGAACAAATCTTCACAACTTCACATGCTTTTAAGTCATGTCTAGGTCAGATGCTTATATAACCACTTCCATTTCCTAGATTTTATACTATTCTTGACTCTCTTTGCACAGCTGGAAATGCATATGTGAAACCAAACATTGGATCAAATACTTATAAAGAGCAAAGCAATAACAGGTCAGATTGACCGCAGATCTAAACATGTAAATACAGAACCTGTTACACACAACACGCTAGCAAACCTAGACCAAACGTGTACATTGCACCAATCTTTTGCTTTTCTAAGGAACAAAACTGACACAAATTGCTCAAGTACTTTGCAGCAGTGGACTCGGTTAAAGTGGTTTTGCTATAAGGCATGTGTCGTTGAAGATAAAGCTCAGTATTTGTTGCAGTCACTCTTAAAATTGTGAAAAGCTCTTTGTTTTTAAAGTAGCAATGATTTCCACCTATTACTTTTTAAAGAGAGAGAGAGAATACTGAAAGAGTTGGATGTGCTTTTGATTTCAGAAACAAAAAGGTACTAAATTTACACAGATATATATTTTTTTAAACTAAAGTGTAACTCAGTACTTACAATAGTCCTGCACCTATTTTTGGGTATCTAATCACAGATGCCTTGAATCGAATAAGATTTTGGCATTCAAAAATCTTCAGCCTGAAGGTAAGCTACTTGTAAAAATAACTCTATTTTAGACGCCTAAATAGGAATCTAGAAGTTTTATTTAGGCACCATTTTTTTCCAATGATACTATTAGATTATAATTGTGTAATCATAAAATGTTCCAACAGGTTAAGTTTATTTATCATTTACTAAACCTGAAGAAACCATTGCTATTTTTTAAACTACTGATTCAGTTTTATATTTAGTTTTAAAACATACAGTTTTAAATTCTTTGGATTTAATATTGAACTATTACAATAGTTTCAAATAATTTGGACTTTGAAAATATCAAGATGAATACATACACAAACTATGTTTCATCAAATGTAAGAGGGCCTTAAAATGTATGGAAAGGATAAAGGTTTATTTTTATTATTACAGCAGTACTTCATTCTAGATATTGTTCCATTTCACTGATCAACTCAGATATTCAATGCATATAATCTTAATTTCTATTTTCAGAATTCATCAAATGGGACAGTAAGGAAAGGCACTCTGTGCATTTCAAAGCAAGAAATGAGATGGCTTCATTCATGTAACACTTTTGGCAGTTCTCCCAGAAAACAAATTCAGTGTTGAAAGGCAGTAATACTGTACCTTGATTTCTTCTATTTCGTCTGGCACTATCTTGTATGCAGATATAGTCCCACCCAACCTGAAATTGGGAGAAGAAAACAGTATCAAAACCAACGAAAAGCACAGCATGGTAATGGTATCACAACTAGTTTAAGTACAAAAATGCCTCCTACCTTTTTAGGAGTAACACAAACAAATATAAAAATACCAAAATAACAGGAAAGGCAAAAATAACCACCTTTATCCAAACAAGTATCATCTTTGTGTGATTTTGAATAATTCTTAGAAATAAGGTGTTCTTGACTAGTCTGAAAGGTAAGAATTAAGTCAACTACTTAGAACTACCCTCACTTTATTCATTATGCCAACACCATCAACCATCACATTCTACTGTTTGCTATTGTTTTGTAAGTAACGTGAATGAACTTCAACATTTAAAGATATGTTTTGTGTTCAGTATTTCACTCCATTGCTACAGTTGTAAATGCACCCTAATGCAATTCTAGAACTTCAGATTTTATAATTGCACATGCATGTACACACCTCACCCACCAAATAAACTATGGCTCACATTTTTGATAAGTCTCTAAGATTTGTGATTGGTTAAAAAAAAAAAAGTGGATGAGTTGCAATGGTTGGCACTCCTGTTCAAAAGTAACTTTTTTGTTCCACATGAAAAGTATTTTTCAATTTCTTCTACAACCTGAAGAAAGTTTAGCATAAAGAAGAGTTCATATTAGAGAAACAAGTAGCATGCACTGTATTTGGTGGCAAGGTTTGGTAAAGTATTTGGTGGCAAATAACAAACTTTCCACAGAAACATGCAAGCATGGTTTCTGTTGTTTCACGAGGCAGGCTCATTCACAGCAACAATTCAGACCTAGAAATATAACTGCATTAATGACCTCCCTGCTGGCTCTGCAGAGCAAAACTAGTCATTTCCTAGGTCCTATAGAAATGAAAATCACACAGAAAACTATTTACTCTAAAACAGTAGACAGCAATCAAATGTGCATTTGCATCATCTCACTATTACTCGCATTATTTCCCTTTCAATCGTCAGCATTTCTACTACAGTTTTATTTCCTTATAGGCAATCTTGAAATTATTATAGATATTGCTTACTCAACCTCAAAAAGAGGGAAAAGACCAATATAAAAATGTTATGTTTTTTATGACTGACTCCGCCAGTCAGTCACTGTCAAAAATGAACCATTTGAAGGATTCAGACAGAATCCTTCAGAAATCCTTCAATTCAGACAGGATTAAGTCCCTGCAGAGGGCAAGTCCATTCTGCAGCGCCCTGCTGCTCACAGTCCTGTCGCTGGCTTCCCCAGGCACCGGCAGGGCCCAGGCATTCACCTACCACAAACAATGAGATGACAAAAGCACAAATGGAAGCTCCTGTATCCTGTTTCATTAATTAGAAACATTTTCCTGCAAATAAATATTTTGAGAGTTTAACACAGTTTAAAGCTGCCTAGCAGCGTTGCAGTCCAGAGAAGTGCTTTTTAAAGTAGCTGTACATTCCTGGATCTTTTCCGTGACAAAACACATATGCAAAACCATTAAAAATGTCAGACGTCACATTTTCTTATTTTCGAAAGGTACCTCATCATTTAATAAATCAATTTCGCACTTAAAGCTTCACATCCTCATATCTGACTGTATATGCATTCAATTCTACACTGACATCTTTACATTGAAAGCCCACATTACCTAAATAAACAGTAACAAATGTGGCATTCGAAGAGAATCAAAAATACATAAACATCTATTTCCATAAACGCCTCAGGACTGAAGAAAAGTTTTTAAGAGAGCCTGCATTTGTTTCATTCCAGCACGTTGCACCTCATGTCATCTAATGACTACTGGAAAGAGCAAGGCACCCTAGTAGATTACTTCTTAAATACAATACTATAGGGGATGTAACAAACAAGCTTGACTCTGTACATCAAGTTTAACTGCAAGTTCCACAGAAGTTTAGATGTATATGGTAAGAAAATCCAGATAACACAACACAAACTCTTCAAATAGTCCTAACTGCATAACATGTGAGGATTGACATTTTTAGTTTTGCTATATACTAATGCAAGCATGAGAACAGAAGACTTAAGCTGCCTGTTTAGTAACCACAAGCAGTGTAACAATAACGCACACATAAAGCTATACAGTATTTTCTTTTCCTGTAAGAATGCCCCTATTAATTACACCTCCACACAGAAAATGTTTACAGTGTATAATTCATATTCCAAAATAACTTCGTTAGTGGCAGAACTAGCTGTGATCTTGCTGCACACTCTTTACTCAGAAATCACCCAATCCCATCTACTCCAACCTCCTGGTAAGAAGTTCTCAAAAGAAAACGTTCAGTTTGGTGTCACCCTATTGTTACTACAAGTCTCCCACGGAGCAGAAGGGCCTACACCATGTCACGTACACACATATAGGAGTTACTGAGCGCAGCTAAAACGCTGTAATGAATAACCATTCATTAGAAAAGAGTATATTTGAAGGACAGCAAAAAAGAAACCAAGCCACAAGTTCAATGCATTAATCACTATGCCCAATCTAGGGAAATTTTTGTATTTCCGAGGCACTTTTTATTTTGCAAACCTTAGATGTGAACGCTGACACTTGAAGCAGGAGCGATCACACCATGAAATGCAGCAGCTCTGAGTTTCAGAGGGCACCTGCAGGAAGGTGCGTGGCGGTGCCGCAGAGCCCCCGCGCTTGGCACACACGGATTTCATTTTCCTGGGAGCAATCGCTCTTTGCAGACTGATTTTGTTCACAGACTGCTCCAAGATTTTCTATTAACTTTTTGAGCTTTTCATCACAGTGTTTCAAAGAAGTGATTACACTGCAATCAGAGAGGCAGAGGATCAGGTAGCGTGAGTTCACAGTAAGTGCTGCAGGTTCTGCACACGTGAATACAGTGCAGCAAAGAGCCTGCCAAGGCAGAATTTGGTTCAACTAAACCTCAATTCTTGAGCAGGATCTCTTCATCTTTCACACATTTTCATCTTGTTATAGATTTTATTAATTTTTTCTTCATTTGAAGAACATAGCCTCCAGCATCCTAGGACATAAATGGCATCTTCTCTTACAACAACCAACCAAAGAGCAAAGTCAAATATATGGCCAGCTACTTGGAGTAAACTGAAAATGTGGTCACCAGCTTCATCACTAGAAATTTAACATTCTCCTCTAAACTGCAATGTTGTTCCACTATAGCAAGCTGAACAATTTAATAGTGAAGTGAGCTTAAATTAATACTAGCCAGCTTTTCTACATATGTATATAAAACATTTCTGAAGGATCTCATGCACCATATTCAAACTTTTGTAGACATCAGTCTCATTAGGGGAAAATCTGAATCACACCCTGCAACTGATACAGACTCTCCTAATTCTCTAGTCCCTTTCCAGAAGATAAATTATTCCTGCCTGTAGAAAGCAGAAGTGATACAATAAATCAAAGAAGCACAGATTGTGCTGGGCTAAAACTTGCAAAGTTCTTTCGGGAGAAAATCAGAAAAAGTAGGAAGGATATTCCATTAAAGAGTTAGGAAATAATAAAAATTTCATAACTAGTTGCAGAAGAGTTTGTGGAAGTCTGTGTCTTTTGGCAGGAAAAATACATTAGATAAAAGTGCATCTCTGAGTGACTTAAAATACACAGACTGAGTTCAGAGGAAGTTCATGAAAAGGACTTGGGAGAAAGCTGAACAAGAAGGTTCCTATAGCAACCTAAGAAATTAGCAAAATATAGGAAATAATCTGAAGCCAGGCCAACACAGTTGTATTGGAACAGATGGAAGCTTTACTATTCTGCAACTAAGTAGAGTATCACCAAAGAGAGAAAATTGGTATTTCTTCAAGTTAAGGAAAGTTAAAATCCAGGAGGAAATGTGCTCTAAGAAAGGCAGAAAATAATAAGCTATTGCTCAAACACACGCTGCTCACAAAATAGAAGAGAAACTGTGTGAAAAAGGCAAACAAAAAAAGATAAACAGTAATTGTTACAATAAACCATTTTAAAAAGATATTAATAAGCAACAACTATCCTTATAGTCATTCTTTTATGACTTTTGTTTCATGTTTCAATACTATAACTAAAACAAAAATTAAATTTCTGATTTATAAAACAGGTATTTGGAGTACAGAATTATTATTTTCACCAGATTATTTTTGTATATTTGGAAGGTGGACTTCTGTTTTTTCCCTGCCCTTCCCCAGCCTCCTCATTCTCTTTTACTAAGAGAAGAAAACCGTTTACTAAATGTATGTGTGTGCAGACAGACAGATACACTACATTATTATGGTGTAATTATATCATGTGCATATGTGAGATTCTTACACGGCATTCTCGGACTGAATCAGCACCGTTAAGGTTCTCTCATTTTAATTCTAACCAGAGCCATGAACGCCGTCTGTCTTTATACACAGCTCTGCCATAAAAAGCTGAGCTACTGGTTCATCTGTTCAGCCTAATGAGTGAGTCACGCTCAACGCACTGGAGGCAACGGCCTAAAAATAGCTGCTCGCCCGGGCTGGCTGCTGCCACTTGCCCGCGCTCACCGGCGCCGCGTTAATCCCCGCTCATCCTTCCTCGGACAGACCACAGCGGGCGGCTGTCCAGCACCTCCCTGACCTGCTGCCTCTTTGGAGGAAAGGAACCCCCAAGAACTTGCTGACCTTTTTCCTGGGACCTCTCCCCAGTATATTTGTCACCTATCCGGATGGTATTCTGCTTTTTGACCCATTCAAGCCCTGCTAAGACTGTGTCTGCAGTGTCTTGCACGCAGGCAAGTTTAACCTCGACCCACAAGTCCTTTGTGGATCATCAGGCCCTAAGCTCCTTGCATGCAGCTAAAGCTTCACACAACTTTCCAGGGAAAGATGCAGCAAGGATTTACTTTCAAAGCACCTTTATTCCCTGCTAGCGAGGCAGGCGCATTAGGGCAGACCCAAGGCTGCTTTAATGGATGCCAGGGTCTCCTGACTTTTAAGGGAGGATGAGGGCAGGATGCGCTGGGGGGCAGGAGGAGCTGCTGCCCGCGCCGCCGGGCTGGGC